TGTTATAGAATAGATGGATGGAAAATAAGTCCTTATTCAAACAGCTGCCTTCAGAGGTTTCAGGGGTGCTGCTCACACACCTGATACAGCCTCGCTGTGTGAATCACACCGTGGGATCAGACTGCTGGAAGTGTCCCGTCCTGTGTCAGCCATTCACCCTCACAGCACCATCGCGAAGCTGCTTCCCAGCACGAGCCCCACTGGGGCGACTTCGCATCTCCAGCAGAGGAAACTGTCACAGAGACCCCCACAGCACCTCCATAGCTCTCGAGAGAGAGACCCACCAGCAGCCGGTGGAGATCACGAGCGCATTTAATCTGAGCAGCGCTGTTTCAAAGAGGACATTAAAGACAACTCTCAGGGTCAAGACCTGAAGGGCTCTGCTCCTCTCTTTCACCCAGTGAGCTGTAGTCGGTGTGATATCAATTCCACTAGGGGGCGCTCTTCCTGTGCTCGGTGTCCAGATGGACGAGCTGCCGGCCGGCCCCTGTGGTTGTGCCACAAGGGGGCGTAAGAGGTAGTGGCGCTGGCGCTGGGAGCTGCATTCCTCACATTCTCAGGAGGAAATCGCTGAACTGGCTGCACCTGGGATCTCCTGCTCCCTATGAAAGCAGTTCCTGAGGAGGGCAGGGGTTGCCCTGCTGTTCAGCAGAATAGTGAGTGTGTAGAAGGTGGTCTGGAGGTGAGAGGTTTCTTCTGGCCCACCAGTGCTCAGAAGTGTTATAATGAGGTGATATTAGTAGCAGCCTCGGTTGTTTTCCGGGTTGGGACACCGGTACACAAGAAGTTGGTCCATGAGTGCACCTGGCCAGCTGGATTCGACTGAGTAAGTTCTTGCCACTGCTATCAGGGGAAGTATCTGGTTATGGTTCATGTGGAAAAACCTTTTAAATATACTTTTTATATAGTACCTTTTAAAATAGCATCTTCAAGCACTTTACACACAGACCCCAGCTTGCTCTCCATGAGACACGCAGACAGGGAGAGAGAAGCTGGGGGTCAGAGCGCAGGGTCAGCCATTGTACGGCGCCCCTGGAGCAGCTGGGGGTAAGGGCCTCCCTCAGGGGCCCAACGCAGTAGGATTCCTCTGCCAGCTGTGGGATTTGAACCGGCAACCTTCCAACCACAGGCTCAGACCCTGAGCCACAGAGCCACCGCTCTGCCCGGAGCAGATAGACAAAGTAAAAGTTAAGTAATCAAGTAAAATTCAGTTTTGAGACTGGATTTGAAGGCATTTAGAGGCATTTACAACAGGAAGCCAGTGCAGGGACTCCAGGACAGGAGTGAGGGGATCTCTTGCACGAGACCTGATCAGGATTCTGGCTGCGGGATTCTCGAGCTCCAGACTGGAGTCTGTTCGGTGTGGGTTTAGATACTCCAGTGAGCAGGGCGTTGCAGTAATCAATTCAAGACAAACCTCAAATTCAAGTTCAAACTAGTATTGAGGTAGGAACTATCTCCCCCTGCTGCTGGGCTCTTTCTCTGGGTCCCACCAGGAAGCTGCTGGCTGAGGTCTCTGGCTCCTGACTGACCAGGCCAACAGGATGGGCTGCCTGGTCTCCTCTCGTTTGTGACCGGTCTTCTGCCCGTGTCATGTGACAGGCCCCGGACGGCCGCTCCTGCCTGGCGACAGGTGATGTCAGAGCAGGGGCTGCAGTGGATTGGTGGGGGCTCGGGGTCTGTGTGAGACTCCCCCGGTGTGTGTCTGTCTTTCCTGTGTGACTGTGAGCCCCAGTGGTTCCACTTCCCCGTTTCTCCAGCACCTCTGATGCCAGCTCTCACCCGCCAGGTTCTTCAACACCTGGAAGTCCTGTGTTTTATAACCATTCATTGTTCATCCAGGTGGGGCTGCACACTGTGGTGGTGGAGGGGAGTTCCCATTACCTGTGAAGCGCTCTGAGTGGAGTGTCCAGTGACTGGTTCATTTTTTTCCAAAATAATGATCAATCAGAGCTGTAGGTTCCAGGAGTGTGCAAGAATTAGGAGCTCTTTGCTTTTTAGAAAAGCCAGACTGTGAAAGCACGTCTCTAAAATCTAGATTGAAGAGCTGCTCCTGTTGCTCCAGGTCAGGACAGGTGTCCCTCACTCCCCTGCGTACCTGAATTCCCTGGTAGGGTACAGGTCACTACATCAGGTTTTAGGGAGCTTTTCTGCATTTGAGTGATCTGCGTTACTGACTGGGTGAAAATCAATACATCTTTTTGCCAAGGGACCTTATTAATAATGATTAATAATACTCCTGATGTCAATCTGATATTTCATGCAGTTAAATATTTTCACATTTCTCTGGGAAATCTAAAAATTTAGATTTACCTTATTCAAATGAAAATGTTTCAGTAGTGAACGCTTACACCAAGTGTCTCTCCATAGCAACAGCGCTGCGATGCATTTCAGAATTTTTTGATTGGCTGATAAACAATCTATTAAAGAGAAGGAGGAGTTTTGCTTTTGTCCTTAAACTCCTGGGTCAGTTTTCAGTTTGTCAGATCTGCTGTGGGGGAGTTGGTGAGCACCTGAGGAACAGGATGAACCATTTGCTATTTCTAAGTGTCTTTCTGGCAGCTGTCTGGACAGGAGTCTATTCTAGTGGTACGTATTATCTTATCTAAAATTAAAGCAATATTACATTTGTCACAGTTGACTTCTGTTAATATAAAGCAATATTTTTAATGGGTGGGAAACGCAAGAACAATTTCAAAAACTTGAACCGGAAAAAAAGTTTCAGACACAAGGTGGTACAATCATAATTTAACAACTTTTTGACTCTTTTCGTGTTTTAATGTGATTGGATTTTAAAGTTTTTATCACCACCTTTGCTCTGTCATTTGTCCCCACGGTGTGAAAAGAATTTGCCTAATGGGACCACATTGTTAAAAGTTATTTGTGTAGCAAATTTACCGTGTTGCGTGCTAAGTGCGACTGTCACTCATGCTGATCTGACACGGTCTCTCTGGAAACAGCGTTGTCTTCTTCTACAGACTCCAGGTGCTTTAAATACAGCATCTTATTTTATCATATGAGCATCAGAGAGAGTTACAGAACTTAGTAGATGTAGATTTTTAACTGACAACTGCAGAAGACTTTCAAAGATGCAGTATGTTTATTCCTTAGAAAAAATATATATTTTTGAAATATTAGAATGTTATCTGAAATGCAACTAATTTGTATTAATAAAGCACCTTTTCAAACCCAAAACACTGTCCATACTGAGAAAGGAATGGATGAAGAAAGTACAATATATTATACACTAAGTAGACTGTGGTTTCCTCTCACTATACAGTCTATAATTGTTTTTCATTCAGGT